GGGGTTGTGTTTATCGGACGGGGATGATCGGGCACTCGTTGTGCTCCTTAAACTTCAAAGAGTCTTTTCTTCTCAAGCTCAAACTTTGATCAAATTAAGTCTTATGGCGTTTTGGACATTCTTGCTTGTCTGATTGACTTTCAATAAAAATAATCAGGACATGAAACTATGGGTAAATAACTTCCAAAAACACTGAATAATGATAAAGATGTATATTTTATTGATAAGTAAAAAAGAATACACATTTATACCATGGAATTAAGCTAGCTTAACTCGGTGTTTTAACTAAGAATTTAATAAGTCATACATATTATTAGTAATAATAATTATGTGCAACAGTCTTAAGAATTAACAAGAACAGTGGGAACGGGGCAACAATAGAATAATCACAAGACACAAATCAGTTCAATACATAACTGAGTTATTTGTTTGCATTATGAAGATAAAGAGAAAAAATTGCCTCTGAAAGAGACTTTTAACATGTTTTAGTGGAACACTGCTGTACATGAAAGCATAATTTAAGGTTGCATGTATGTTCTGCACATTGTATGTGGACATACAAAAGTTAATACAAAACACATCATCTAACAACAACAAAAAAAATCTAAAATAATTCATTATAACAAAAAAAAGTATTACTCAGCTTTCAATCCATTTGCCTTAGGCATTTTAAGCAATTGGTCATTTAACTTATTTGTGGACTGTGGCTGAGGAAGTAAACGAGGTAGCCCAATAAGGGCAAGCACAGCCATTACATGCAGGTACAGGTACATTGTCCTAAAAAAAAATGACAGGGATCAAAATAATGATTATGAAAGTAAGAGTCAGAATTAAAATTAAAAGACTAAACAGAAAAATAACAGGCACTTACAGGTAGCAGCGCACACTCGGCCAGAACTCAAGCAGAATAAAGCTGAATGTTATGTATGCCATGGTGACCCGTGTGGTCCAGAAGGTCAGTAAGTCATAGAATGCCTTAAGTGTCATTGAGGTTGTAAAAAATGGGCGTACATGACGACGAACCTAGCCAGAAGATTGATGTTACCAAAATACAAAAAAGGAAATGAAATCAGTTAACAAGTTCATTGTGATGTAGATTACCTTGCGTGCAGCAAATGTGAAAAGGGCACCACTTGCAAAAGTCAAGTAATAACCTGGATAAAAACCATGCCAAAATGCAGATAAAGCGTAAGTCCACATTGTAGCTTTCTTCTTCACTCGATCATAAACAACAAGCCTTAACCAACAGTTTGTTCCCTTGTTCCAGTTTTCAATACAGTCTCGCAAGTTCAGTCCGCACTGAAAGCATACAAATTATTTAATTTAAAAACAGAGTCAAAAAGCATACAGTAGAAAATAATCAAGAGGAATCGCCTTATACCTCAAAACCCAAAACATCAATATTTGAATGTAAATCCCACCGAGCACTTCCATCCTCCTCATATCCATTAAAACCCAAACCACTTGCATTGCAAATTGCATCTGCTAAAAGCCATGCATGGTAGTATTTGAACCGGTGCACGGCTGTAGCAACCATAAGGAAGAGCATTTTAGATGGTGCTGTAAGCTCCAAAAATTCAGGTTCTAAAAATAAAATAAAATAAAAATATAGCCAAACCATTGGCATATATCATAAACCTTTCCTTCAACAATGGCACTTTTCCTGACTGTCTGAAAAACAGCAAGGTTGTGCCCATATATAAGAAGAGTGATAAGATGGATCCCAATAACTATAGACCGCTAACACTGACATCCAACGTGGCTAAAATATACGAGAAACTTTATTATGAAAGGCTTCTAGCCTTCACCTCCAAATATAAAATAATTGCAAAGGAACAGTTTGGGTTTCAAAAGAAAAAATCAACAACTGATGCAGCCGCCACAGCAATGGACCATATAATAAACTCAATTAATGAGAAGAAAAAAGTAATTGGAATATTTTTAGACATGTCTAAGGCAGGCGTTTGACTGTGTGTGCCACAAAAAACTGGCCCAAATACTGGAGAATATGGGGATCAGAGGCAAGGCACTTAGCTGGATTGAAACCTATTTAAATAACAGAAAGCAATGTGTAGCAATCACTGATATGCAGAAAGAAATTGTGGAAACAATTTTCTCCAACTTCCTGATTAATGGCTATGGAGTACCCCAAGGTAGCATACTTGGCCCACTATTGTTTCTACTGTCATCAATGAACTTAAAAACCTCATTAAGAGAGAAACCAACAGCTGCCTTCCCGTGCTGTATGCCGATGATGCAAACCTAATAATTACTGGAGACACCATCATGGAAGCCATTGAAACTGGGAAAAATATTACTGGCATGATAATTGATTATCTTGCCAGTCTTAACTTAATTGTTAATGTGGAAAAGACACAATGTCTATTTTTCACACTCAAAAAACCCAGTGATATGAAGGAAATCATGATCAATGATATACCTATCCAGGATAATGGAAATTCCAAATTCCTTGGAGTATATATTGACAATAATCTGAGCTGGACCACACATAGATCAAGTCAAAGGTAAACTCAGGACAAGTATATTCCTACTCAAGCAACTTTCACAGTGTGTTAGCACTGATGGGTCATTCCATTCCAAACGTAGGGGAAGGTGGGGACCATTGGGACGGATTTTTTGTTTTTGCTCTAGATTGGAAACCGTGTGAGTAAGATTGATCAGTGTTGGCCCAGTCTGTACATTGAAGTGTTGTCTATCGTAAATCAGAGCCCTCAGATGTCGTTTCGCTAAGTCTTTGTCAGCAGATGATTTTTTCCAAACTGTGTTGCTTGTCCCAATGTTCCCGGGTACGGGGTACAATGGGACATTCATAAGAAACCATGGAATGGGGTACATTGGGACAGGAAAAATTTGACTTATGACTGCACCACATCCATGCCTTGTTGCGGTCTACAACTCTATCGAACCATGATTGGAGTCAGTGTATTGCAAAATAAGACTATTTTAGAATTTTTAAAGTGTGACATCGGACACTTTTCTGGTGGGCTGTCCCAATGTTACCTATCGCTCTTATCGTGTTTTAGTCCTTTCCTTTTCGGTATTTTGGGATTCAACTCAAAACCCAACGCTGGTAATTGTGACGTAAGGAACTGCATATCGGTGAGTCACCTTGCCGGTTTTCTATTGCAAATTATTAAACGCACAGAATGGGAAACTGATCCGAAATGTCACCGTAGTTTCCACCACTTTTGGAGCTTATTTTCGTTTCCCATTTTCTGTTCTTTAAACATGCTCAGCCAGCCCCAAATCATTAATGCCACCACGAAGAACTCTTTAGTGCGAAACGTGGCAAAGTTTTTCAACATCTAAATACTGTTAGAAATAGATGATATCGCCTCTGTCCCATTGTACCCCGTGTCCCACTGTACCCCACCTTCCCCTACCCCCAACAAAAAAAAAGTTTTGACGAAACTTTTTTTTGTTGGGGGTACGTTTGGCATGGAATGACCCACAT